AGAGAGACAGAGAGAGAGACAGAGAGAGAGACAGAGAGAGAGACAGAGAGAGAGACAGAGAGAGAGACAGAGAGAGAGACAGAGAGAGAGACAGAGAGGATAATAAAATTAGCGGTAAAAAGCAACAACGGCGTTCGGTAGATCATTGCCTTAGATACCAAGTACGCCAATCGCACAAGGATATGAAAGATAAAATATTCACCTGTGATGTTTGCACCAATAGAATTCCCTTTTTTAAACTTGCATGTTCCATTGTTGGCTTTGTACGGGTAGCTGGCATTAGTGTCAATGCCGCCATTGGCTTTGATATAATTAAAAGCATAGGGAACCCAGCCACCAATGCAGCCAGCGTTGCCAAATTCTGTCGAGCAATCCACGAGATTTTGTTCGCTAAGTGAGACAAGATTTCCTGTCTTCTTAAAATGTTGTCCTTCAAGGGAACCAGTAGCGCTGAAGGCCCAGCAAGAACCACATGCTGAAACGAAAGTTATAAATTAAAAAACGCCCAAAATTGTGCGTGATTTTTGTGCACTGAAGTTCACTTTAAGCAATTTTCCAAACCTTTTCGAGTTATTAACGGTCAAAAATGTGGAAAATGCCTCCTAAATGTTAGAGAATGCTGTTTTTTTAATATTTTTAACCTTCCATAACACAAAACGAGCTTGGAAAATCGTACCAAGTTATAGTACCAATCGTATCCTCCGGCGAGTTAACCGCCCGTTCTAATATAACCAGGCTACCTTGCTTGTTTAGGACCTCGCTTCTAGTACTAGCCCGGCACCTTGGAATCCAGAGAGGTCAGTTGGCTAACTACTTATACTGTATTAGAATTATTGAGTAATAACTATTGACTAATAATAGTTATTAATATATAATTTACTATCATTAACTGATAATAATAATTAGTGACTATTTCTATCTGTACCTATCGTTCCATCAAGGCTTGCCAGATCCTCTGTAAATCCTAATGTAATGTAATCTCGTTCCTCCCTCGAAGAAAATGTGAGACAATAATTTATCGGTAATTTTTTATTCGAACAACTAGGACTTGGAATTCCCTCCCAGAGGCTCCCAGAACAGCTAAGGCTGGATAATTTATACCACTTGTTTATTTAAGAAGTCGCTATACTAGATAATTGTGGGTTATAAGTGATAGAAGCACCAAATTTGATAAAGAGATACTTTGACATATACTAAGAAATGTCAAGTATGGGCCCATCAGGAAAATTAACCTTAATATTTAGCTTTTTCTATACCATTCGCCTATTGAAGTACTATCTTATATGAAATGCAACATTTCAAGTTCACTTATAACAAATATTATCTACGTCATCAGAACATCAGCTTAAAAGTATGTATACAACATTTAAGCGATTGGAGTTTCCAAGCCCATTTTGAGTTACAGCTCCAAAATGTGGAAAATCGCGCAAAACGATAAATTTTGTTTCTAGTAGGCTTAAGCGTTCTATAATGGCTTCATATCCAATATCTTTTTATTATTATAAAATTGTTCTCGATTCTCGGTGTCTCATTGATTGAAGAATATCCAGTAGAATTATTCGTACGTAGGCCAATTTTATCTGCCGAAGCCGAACGCGAGGTGACCTGAATTATTCATCGTGTGACAGTAATGAAAAAACAAACAAAAATTGAAAACAAACAAAAATTCATCAAATTTTCAATGTTTATTTAACAAAACAAAGCTCAACTCAAGGTGTAAAGCCAGCAAAAGTGTAAAGTTGGCAATTCTGCAATTTTTGGAAAGGACATATGGTAAATCCAGCGAAAGAGTTTACAGCATGGAATGTGAAATACTACAGTAACATAGAAATTCTGAAAAATCTTGCTTTGAATTTATCGTGCGTAGTACTCAACTCAACGGTTTTATTCAATCTCCCCTTTTCTTTATGAACCGAACGTAACTCAAAACAATTATAAATAACCAATTAATTTTAACCTAAGAAGTTTTTAAATGTTTCCCCATACTATACTAAAGTACCATAAATGTTCTCACTTATCGGGTACTCATTTTAGTACCCACCGGGCACACGACGTTTCAACGTTGACATTTGGTGGAAAGAAGGTTGCGACATTGACAACCTAATATCTACGTTGCCCTGACGTTGTTTTACAAACGTCAGTTGGTTCAACAGCAGCCAACAGACGTCGAATCAACGTTGAATGTACGACGTCGACTTGTGAAGTAATCTCAACGTTGTTTCAACGTGGATTCAACGTTGAATTATGGTTGACGAGATTGCCAACCTAGTCTCAACGTTGTTTCAACGTCGAAACAGTAACGTCGATCCAATTAGCCTTTCTCACGCCGCCATTTTTGGGGTACTTTTTTGCCAATCCTGCGAGTGTAACACCACGTAACGGTGACATTTTATAGTTTTGTGGGTGTATGATGGTAAATTTACTCTGTAAATAGTTATATGCTATATAGCCATATCTGTAAATAGTTAATACCCCCCCCCCCCGACCGTCCTTTAAGCTGTTTCGAAAACTCGTTTAAGCCTTCGTATACTGAGGCAATAGTGGGTCATCCGATTTTCGTGTTGGGAGATCCAAATTGTAACGTGTTGAACAACAGCCATGAAGGCAGAAATTTAAAAAAAAACCTGCCATGAATTGAATTTGCAACAAATCATTAAATCGCCGGCCAGGATAACGGATAGTTCTAGATCGCTTATAGACGTTATCCTAGTGTCTTCACTTCGTAAAGACCAGTGGCGTTATGAACAAGTCAATAAGCGATCATCTCCCAGTATTCATGATCTTAAAACTCAAGCTTCCAAAATTACCAAGTTGTTCTGTCATTGCTAAAAGCTACCGGAAATTATAATTCGTCTACATATGGGGCTGACCTGGCACAATTAATTCAATAAGGTATTATATAAATGCAAAATTTATGTCCGCGATTGTTACAAAATTTATACCGTTGGCAACGCTGGCAGAAATACTAGAAGGAATTTTTCATTTAAAAGCAAACGGTAAGCTAATTTTTGTTATTTCAATGGATATTTATGTTTATAATTTGTGAATCGGTCATTTATAAATATTTATAAAAACATTGCTATTCATGTCTGTTTGGGACTCATCACTCATGCTAAACTTTGCACTATTCATGTCTGCCTCAGTGGTCAAAGACAATTTTGATCACGCTTCATATAAAGCTTTATAATCCTGTTTATAATCAAACGTGCTTGCACAGATCTTGAATTTTAATAAACCATTGTGCGGATGAATTAAGAAGCAAGCCCACTGCTGGCATTATACTACAAATATTGCCCTAGGGAGTGGTCATTATTTATGGGGAGGGAGGGCTTGGTAAATGGGGAAAATAAGGATTGAAAACGTTTTTGACCCTCCTCCAGACTGAAGGCGAACTTTTGTGCCCCCCCTCATAAAAGTAGAAACTTTTCTGACCCCCCCCCCCCCC